AAAAAGATAGATATAATATTTAAAAGTAAAATAAAATGTAATAATAAAAAATATCATAATAAAAGAAAAAAATTATAAAATAAAAAATTCTTATAAAAATAATACTAAATAATATCAAAGAAATAAAAAAGTTACTCTAGGATATGATTTATTTTGAGCTGGAGGAATTGACCCCATTATAGCATCATATAATTCATCAGCTGCATTGGAATTAAATAACTAAAGAAATACGATAAATACAATAAAATAAATGTAATAAAAATATAATAAAAATATAATTACAAGATCACAATTTACAAACCTTAATGGCTAGAACTCACTATATTAAAAATTGCAATATTTTATTTGATAAAAATAATTACAAACTTTATACTTAGTGTTAAGATTTTATAATATCAAAAAAATTAATAACTAATGCCTTATAATTTATGCATAAAATATATATGATTGATAAATAAAATTTATAAATTAGACATATCCATCATTGTCATCAATCGTCATCACCTAATTTAAAAAAAAAGAAAAAGAAAATTAATTATTAATTGAAATGAATATAATAATATATATAATTGATACTTTCTAAAATTTATTTGATAAAAATATTTTGTTAATTCTTCAAGTTTCTTTTCGAAATTTTCATCATTTTTAGGTTTTGGAAGATTTAAAAAATTGAGAAGTCTACTGGTATAAATTGCTTGTGGATGTGTTATATAATTCATCAGAGTTGATGTTATTCAGTTGATTGAAAACTCTTTAATTTGAATCATAATTTCATTACTAATTTTATAACATTCTTCGAGGTGGTCCCAATATTAGTATTTTTTTCAACTCTGTTTGTAATTCATCAAAAGTGGGGTAATGTGTAATTCGGGCATCCCAACATCTCATAATTATTGTGTAATGAATTCAGGTTGTGAAGTGGAATTTTTGATCGAAATCAAAGCTTTATCATGTGACACATCGTGATATGGAGGAATTCTATATAAATTATAATACGGTCCGCAATTAATACTTCAGGAGCTATATAAGGTAATACTCCACAAATGATATTCCTTTGGGAATTTTTATGTTTGCAGTAATTAATTTACTCAATCCAAAATCTTTTAAATTTTTTAATTTATTTTCCCAATTGATGTAATTAAATTATTATTTAAATAATTTCAAGCAAAACCATCATATATTCGTGAGTTTTTGGATCTTTTGTAATTCCGTAAAGATAGGCTGATGAATAGTCACCATTTGTTTTTAAGAAAATTACCATCTAATTAACATATTTTTAAATTATAATTAATATATTATATATTTTCAAATAAATTTTAAATATTACTTTACCTCATTTAAAAAATCCTCATTTATATCTACGATACCATCAAACTTTTTTAACGCCACTTCACGTTGACCATATCTAGTCCATTGTTGATTTTCAATATCTCACCAATTAATACGTTCATCAACCCACTTAGCATAATAAATAATACCATAACCACCTTTTGCTATTTGTTTAATGTCTTGAAATCTATCATAAAGTATCCATTTTATTACTATATTGAATAAATGAATCGAGCAAATATAATATTAAATATACTAAAAATATATTTAATAACTTAAACGTAAAATTCTATTAAAAAATGCTTCTAGTTGTGATCTAGATTTATATTAATTAGCAATTATTTATTTATATAGAAGATAAAGATATGTTACCTATTTAAATACAGAAAATACAATCAATTAATTATTCTTAATGTATTAGTTTT